ATGTATATGCATATTATGTGTAAATATGTATGCGTATATACACATATATATATATATATGTGTGTGTGTATGTATGTATGTATGTATGTATGCATGCATGCATGCATGCATGCATGTATGTATGTATGCAGGTCAAGGATAGGCTGCTGTAGTGCAACAGATCATTCTCTACTGGTCTCTCAGGTTCTACAATCCGGTAAGTGAGAAAAATGCTTCGCAAGTTGCGCGACACCCTCGACCCCAACCTCAATCCATGAACCCAAAACCCTGAACCCTAACCCAAAAACCTAAAACCCAAAAACCCAAAACCCCTAAACCCCTAAACCATAAATCCTGAACCCTAAACCCATAAACCCAAAATCCTAAACCCAAAAACGCTAAACCCCAAAACCCTAAACCCAAAAAGCACTAAACCCAAAACCCAAAAACCTAAAACCCTAAAACTCTAAAACCCTAAACCCAAAAACCCAGAAACCCCAAACCCTAAACCCAAAAAACCTAAAACCCTAAACCCAAAAACCCAAAAACCCAAAAACCCAAAAAGCGCTAAACCCTAAACCCAAAAACCTAAAACCCTAAACCCAAAAAGCGCTAAAACCCAAAACCATCAAGCTCATAGTGTTGCGTCAAGGCCGGGTCTCCGGGCCATGACCTTTGCCACGCGCTTGAAATGCGGAAGCCGAAATCGAAGGACGGACTGGCCGTTGAGATGCCAAGGGAGCGTTTTTTTTTTTTTTTTTTTTTNNGGGGGGGGGGGGGGGCTTTGGACAAAAAGTTTGATGAGTCTTGGGGTTTAGGGCATCGAGTAGACCAGGATCTTGAATCGCGATGCCTTCCTTGTGGAACGTGTTTGCACTCGTCCACTGGTTTTAGCTTTTGCGGCTAACCCGTGAAGCCCCAGACTTTGAGACCTGATTTTGGATGATCTCCTCGACAGAAGGTGGAACCTCCGGCATCTCATGTTTCCGACTTGCACTTAGGTTTCAAACCTTTGCCTGATAGGCTGTGCTCTTAGGGTCCCAATCGCCGAATAATCATACTCTACGCCCATGCATACCAGCCCATATATACCCATATTCACATTCAAGCATCCAGTTATTGAGTCCAGCCAGTCCTGTGGACCCTGCCTTATAACCTTGTCCATCATCCCCCAAATAACGTTTCTCTCATGGCCTGCTTTCGCTCCTCCTTGAGCAAGTTGTTGCGCACCTGGCCCATCTCATGGGTTCACCAAGCCCCAAGCCAAAATCCCAAACCCTGCACCCTGGTTCGGGGTGAACGGGTGTGAAGGTGTATATTGGGGACATAAAGAAATAATGCGATGGCCTCTCCACGAACACGCCCTCTCTCTCCTCAGCACTCGAGACACATCACTTGATGTCGACAGTCGGGCTGAGGATGGTCTCATGCTTTGGTATGAGGGTGAGCTGCATTTTGGCATTTCTTCGATGCCCAGACCAGGAACCTCGATAAGTGGTGTCTTTAGGCTTTTTGACTTCTGGGATAACGCTATGTCATGCTTCAGTAGCCTGCGAGATCCTGTAAGCTCGGGGTCTACATGAAACTTTGGTCCTTCCGGAACACCAGACGGTAATCCCAAACCCGAATCCTGAATCGTAATACCTTTCTTTTGACAGCCCTAAACCCTAAACCCGAAACCCACAGCCGATTGTGGAGCTGCGGTCCTAGACTCCTAGACCACAAAACCAGGTTACAGACAAAAGCAAGCTAGATCCGAGAGCTCTCCTTCAACCTACATCCTGTGCCCTGGCCCAACATGCCGAGATTCCCATGGATTATGCAATCTCTCTGTCTGGGTAAGATAGGGGCGGAGACCAGGGACCTTTACAGTACTGCATCTCCCATACCAGTATATGTAGTTTGGTAACTTGGTCTACAGCGGCCTCCAAGAACAAAATGTCTCGCTGCTGCGTCGCCGCTGCCGCTTGGAGAATTTGCTTCACCTTCGGAAAGCTGCTCATGACTTAATATGACATAGGGTCAGTAATGATTGAAGTCGGATTCTGGGGTATAAGGGCATAGTAAGGCCCATGTAGGAATTGTAAGAAATAGGATACTTAGTCAGTCCTCGATTTGAGCCGTTAGAGTTCAGCTCTATACTCCCTGGACTTGGAAGGGTTCGGGTTCCCATGCAGACCCCTGAGTAACGTAGCGGCCTTAGTAATTCGAACAGGGTTTGGGGGCGCATTGTACTATACTTGTAATAAGGAACCCCCCAAAAAAATAGTGTAGGTAATTATTTAGGCCTCTATGCTGATAAGAGCCCCCTTTCTCTATGGGTTCAGGAATGAGGGGTTCCTTCATCGTCCCAGCAAAATCCCTTGCAGGAGGCTCTTCCTGAGACCTCATAACCTAGGTTCCCCAGTAGCCCCTAACTAATAAGAGAACCCTTCGTCCGACTATGTTGCTTTAATGATTAAGGGAACCCTTTATCCTACTACTTTGTCTTATTAAGGGAACCGAGAGAGAAAAAGGGCAAAAGGGTACTACGCGGGGCGGGGGGGGGCTAGTAACTGTAACTACTCAACAGGAGCTCCTGTCTGCAAAGCCCAGACCAGGGGGTGACCAAGACAGGGCTCTTTGAGCTGAGACTCGGGCTTCAGGGGCATATTGTGCTAGAGTTCTACAAAGGAACGTCAAGAAATCTACGCTTCTGATTGTTATTATAAGGCCCGTGTGCTAGGATTTACGCTTTCAGTGTTATAGTGAACAGAGCCAAAGTTGAAGCAGCGCTTTCTGATGCTGGTCCAATGTCCGAGCAGCTGGGCAAACGACAAGTGACTGCGATGCCAGGTGGAGTATCTTCATGTCTTCAGGCTCTATAAGTTGAGACACGATTGAAAATACGAACCAAAAAAGGCCTTCGCCCTGAAACTTCAAAGCTGGGCATGCAAACACATGTGAAGACCGTCTTCATAGGGGGGCTGTGGTGTAATTCTTATGAGATCCGGTAGCTCCATGCTCCGACCCCTACAGCCTGCATGTCACCACCCCCACAACATGAACAACTTCTGAAAGCCCCCAACAAAGCAGATTGTCAGTTTTGGGGTGGGGGGTGTGGCAAGGAACCTGGCGTGCTCATTGCAAGACCACCTAAAGCTGCGCACGTGCCTCAGCATCCATGAGTTTACATGTGCTTGCCAGTAACACAATCTGTTTTACCTGATCACACGAAATGGAGAACGAATGCCGTAGGCAACAAGAACGACATCGGGTTTTGGTCAGTGTCTTCGTCCGTTCCTGCTTAGAGAGCCCGGAACCTCCTACGCGTAGCTCTTCGTTCCTGAAGGCTTCGAACAAAAACACCCTTCTTTGAATCCGCATCACTGGCGAGGCGCAAACTAACCCTCAAAATCCTGTGCCTTATCGGTTACAATAAGGGCTAGCGGCATACTGCTTTATGTTGCTATAGAAACGTCAAAGAGGTGTTGTCAGTAATTGTTTTAGCCTCCTTGTTACTTAAAGGTCTTGAGATCAGGCCTCAGCACTTGAAGCCCTGGGGATTGGCTGTGGGGCTCTGAGCAACAACAGGCGGTTCTTTAACCGTGGCTCGTGGTCTGAACAACTCTTAACCACTGAACTAAACTTCTAAACACCTCCTAAACCATCTACCAAAGGCTCGCTTAAATTTATATGGATATGCGTTATACTGGAATGGAACGATAAGAGCAGAGCAGTCTTCACCCCGGTGGTTACATTCGGGATCTTTTCACGTTATCTGGACCCAAGAAAACCAGAAAATCTCTGGCCAGTTTTTGACCATAAGAACAGAGGCAACAGAGGCTTTAGCCTTAGCAGGAAGTTCTGTAGAGACCAGGTGGGTGGTAAGTTCGGGGAAGTTGCTGAAGCACGTGCTATGAATGTGGCGTGGGTTCACTTCCGAGAGGCTCGACAGCGTGGAGTAAGGTCCGGCTTTCAGGGCTTAGGCGGGCGCAGTCTAAGTCTAGGGTTCGCCGAGTCAGGGAATGAGGCACCATATGGGGGTTTCCGAAAATAGGGGTTATAAGGACCCCAAGATAAGGTAGCCCTAATTTTCGGAAACCACCATATGGTTTTGGGAAATTAAAAGTAGCGCCTTGCTGAGACCTTTCGTGCTTTTCGGAGTTTGACTTCTCATCTTCTCATCGGGGCGCCCCCGCATGCTTATCTGATACTAACTGCCACGCTAGGGTTAGGGTTTAGGGTTTAGGGTTTAGGGCCCCTAACTCTCAGTTGACGCCGCCAAGCTTTAACACACAAGATGAACTCGGGGAATTTGGGGTTATGGATTCTCGCAGCTCGGATTTGGGGTTCTTGCGATATAGGGCATTCGCAACAGTCCCGACACAGGCTGTTGCCTCAAACCTTAAGACCGTACACCCAGAACTCTATAACCCACACACTTTAAGACACCCAAAGGTTTACGGAAACGTTACAATTCTGCACGCAACCCCTCGCTGCTGACGGCCTCGGAGTGAAATGTGCCGTGCAGAGCATCAAGATCCGGCGCTGGTGCCCGTATTTTAGGTTTGGGGCTACAAGCCGACATTTCACCTGACAGCAAATCCCGTAGTCCCAAAAAACCGTTGGCAGCAGGCTTCTCTCGCCCGGAACTGCCGTCGCGGTGATGCAAACCCTGAAGCTCCCTTCTAGTCACTAGTCCCAAACGCTCAACAACGATTCTGGACAGCCGTGTTCTCAACTCAATCCGTCACCATAAGCCCAAGCCCCCAAATTCGAGCCTCCGAGTTTGGACATATTACTGCGACACAATGCAGTCTTTGGTTTGTAGAAGTGACACCTTACAAAGTACTGGGGCTTGTTCATCGTAGAAGTGCCCGCCCTAATCACAATAACAGGCAAGGCCGGGTTTTTGCCTGAGCCAGATAGTTCTCTTTCAGACGTCAAACAGTGAAGTTACCGCAGTCAAAGCAGCCTCCTTAGCCCTAAACCCTAAACCCTAAACCCTTCCGCAAAGACCAATGGCTTCCGATGGCAGCGCCGATCATCTCTCTGCTCGGTGTGGGTGGAACTGCGCACGCTCCCCCTACTTCCTGCATCGCTTCTTGTCCGGCATTAACGGGAGTCATCTTAATTGACTGGGTCTCTGCTCCAGTTTGAACAACTCTGTATATTAACTGGTTGTCCAGCACTTTGATACGTTCTTAAAACGATGTCTGTATCCGGCTTATTTGAGAGCCAATTTGGCGAGGAAACTAAATAACTAACTATGCGTTCTGATCCTGATGCCAAAGGCTCGGGTAAGGGTGGTGGCAGTGGCAAGCAGGGTGGTAAGGGCATGGTATGGGGGGGGGCAAGGGCAGGGGCGGTGGGGATCGGGGACGGAGCCGCGACAGGCGTCGCACTCGATGATGCTCATGATTCATGCTGCCCCTGCATGTTGTCCGTTCGCTTTCGCGGCTCCGCGTCGTGGCAGCCCTCACTTCGTGACTGCCCGGTTTACATGAGTGATCGCCAAGGGTTCAGCGCCTGCTTGCTTCTTGTTCCTCCCCTCCCTCCCCTTCCTTTCCTCCCTTTCTCTCCCGCTACTCTCTTTCTCCCTCTCCTGCCTCTGTCCTCTTCTTTCTCTCTGCTTGATCCCAGTGCTTTTACGGCTTTGGTTTGTCTGTTTGACTTTTGGGTGCGTCAGATTTTTCCGTCTCCGTTTTTCTTGAAGAGGCAGACCGGGGTTCACTACTGGCCGCTTCCCTACGACAGACGACGACTAACTGTGCATAACAACGCTGCATCCTATAGGCAAGCATCCTCGTCAAGATCACAGACATAATCCGTCGAATCCTAACCAGGACTGGAAACAGCTAAGACCCAGCGGAATCACGCAGAAAAATACCGCGAAGCAAACGACAAAGCCCACGGGAACATGATTTCATGTACGCCCGAGGGTTTTTTCCCTGCTTGGTTTATTCTCTTGCGACCGGCAGCACCAGCCCAAAGGGCAGGTTTTAGAGCTCGGCCTCAAGTTGTGAAGGCGCGGTTTAGGGTTTAGGGTTTAAGGTCTAGGGTTTAGGGTTTAGGGAAAGCTTTGCCCAAAGTCTTCCCTAAGCCCTGGCCCAAACACCAGCCCCGGAACCTGAACCCTACTCGGCAAACCCTCAAACCGAGAATTCTCAAACAAAAACGTTTCACGACCCCTTATAAGCTCGAACTTGGAATCAATGAGATCTGCCAGGCAACTTAAGGTCTTAGGCTAAGGGCTTCTCGGGTTTGGGGCTCATCGGGCTTATGGTGTCTGTTTAGGGTTTATAGTGTTTAGGGTTTAGGGTTTAGGGTTTAGGGTTTATAGTGTTCAGGGCTTAAAGGGTTTGGGGAAGAAGTTCGAGCACGGGCGGCCGACTTTTCTGCGTTCCTTGGACCAGGGCTGAGAGCAACAAACCCAAACCCTACATTTACAGGGGTTTAGGGTCTAGGGGCTTAGGGTTTAGGGTTTAGGGACTTAGGGTTTAGCTACTTTTTCCGCCCCCACTTTCCTTAAGGATTCAGAAATAAAAGAAGGGCAAACTAATCACGACACACTTGCCGGAAACCGAACGTTGAGAACCCAACAAACATCTCTCAAAACGACAATCCACACCCGGAGATCCCTGGGAAAATGCTGCCGGCGCAAGAAGGCACAGGGATCCACCCTGCACCTACGCAGATGGCTCGGACGAAGCCCGGGGACGTGGAGTGTAGATAGGACTTGGGTCTCAGGTTATAAAGGGTTAGGTGCTGAGGTTTGAGGCTTCGCAAACCCTGAAGCCTGAACCACAAAATTAGGGCTTCGTCTTTGCTAGGTCCAGGGTCGATTATCAGAAGACTCCGGCTAACCAGTAGAGTTGAGGGTTTGGTCTTAGTTCTGGTGCCCGCGCAAGACTCCACGGCTAAACACCAGAAAGTATCCGACGCAGTCGGGGCCTCGTTTGAATCATAACGGCTTAGAGGGTGGGGCTTGGGTAGCCAGGTG